AAACAAGCACACATCTCGCCTGGTTGTAACCGGACTGTGGATAATTAGATTTATCCCCGATTAATAACAATAATATTTGCAGTACTCCAAGCTGGTGTACTGGGTCCTCTATTATTTGTTATCGTATAAAGTTTGTATGAACCGCTTGACATTACAAGACACAAATGCATTTTAAATGATATTGAATTGATTGCATAGGCATTGACTATATGTCTAACCGTATTTCTGACATAATCAGTACTATAAATCAAATGTTTAAATGGGCATCATAATTGTCATCTTAACCCTTTAACCCCCATTGCTGACAGAGACCTAACTGCCACAAGCGATGATCCTGAGCCACCTGCTCCATCGACTTCCGGCTCCCTTGCCATGTCGTCGCTCCATCTAGTGGGGGCTACCAATCGATAACCTTTCTCAATAAGTTTTCGGAATTGTCACTTCAGCTTAAGGATTCGTTGGGCTATGTCAATTACTTTAGTTCTACTGCGGATATCCTTATTTCGACAGCGGTGAAACTCCGAGCACAACTATAGCTCGGTGAGTAACCTTATATACGTTACAAGAGCACTGGTTATATATTTAGAACGTGAAATTGTACTTCTATACGTAATCTGTAAATAAATAATATTTGAAATAATAGAAATGGCAAGTTATAACAGAACTGTTATTAAATGGCTACTGGAGCACACATTTTTTTACATAGTACACACTCCTCCAACTCTCTCAACTCCAACTCCTGGTTCCTACATAATATCTGGCTGTTATATAATTCGTATGCACCTATAGATAAATGATTTTGTAAATCTCTTTGAAAATCATTATTATCAAGCTATATACTGGGGCTATTAGGGAAGATTAAGTACTATGTATTTCAGCATCAATGTCCTGATTTCGCAATTAATTGATTCTATCGTGATTCATAATAAGTGCGTGTATAACAACAAATCAAATGATGCAGTGTAATGTAAAGCTCACTATTACTGTTAATAATATCGATCAAGAAATACGTTGAAATAAAGGTAATTAAAGAAACTTGTTGTTCTTGCTTAGAGCATTATCTTCAATCAGGGGCATTGATGAGGTTGACAAATCGCCGCTCCTAGTCGGATTCCTACGGCGATGCAAGTTTTCCTCATCAAGTAATGTACCGAGATTACTTGATGGTGAAGCGTGTAACTAGTGACTAGACCCCTTATTCGAAACAGCTAGAAGGCGTGCCTGATCTTGGTCACTATGGAAATTATGGAACAATGTTAAATTAATAAATTATTTGCATAATTGAAATATTTATCATGAAAATGTACCTACAGTGTACTCAACAGTTTATATCAAAGTGGAGGTTAATACAATTATAAAAAATAAAAAATAAATAGTTCAAAAGTAAGTAATTCAAAAAGTTCTTACAAGGCCGATTGGAATAAGATGCGCTCTTTTTTGCATCATACCCTTGGGTTTGCTTCTCTCCGGACGATCCCGGCGTTGTTGCTGATTCTGTCGGTGATGTGGTAGTTCAGGGTATGGAACTTTTCACAAAACTTTGGTAATTTTATACTATCGCGGTCACTTCGTTTTTTGACTCTAGAAAATCGAAAAATCATCCGATTTCGATGATTTTTTTCAAATCTTCGTTCTAACATCGGATTTATGGAAAAAAATATGGGAAAATCTCACCTCAAGATTTCATATAGTTTTATGATTTTAAATGTGATCATAAACGCACTTCTTCGAATATAATCATTCATAACTTTTTTGAAAAGCGTTAAACAAAGTTTGTATATTTTTATTGTTAATCTACACAAAAAAGCATTGTAAAATGTTTGTTTCACTCACTTTAAGTTTTTGATTTTAAATATAACATAAACACTCTAGAAAATCGAAAAATCATCCGATTTCAATGAGTTTTTTTAAATTAGAAATTATTACCTCGATCGATTTGTAGTTGTCGCTGGTTCATTATAGTTTTTTTTTTACTGCGCCAGTATATTTTAAGTCTATGATTTTTACCTTAATTGTTACGTTACATTATGGAGAGTGTTAGAAGTTGATGGAATCTGTGTGTGTCGATGGAAGCTGGTGGCTCAGAAGCGACATTCCTTGATCTATTTTTAGCAGGTGGTCTTGTAAGGACTTTAATGATGATGATAATGATGATAGAGTAGGGAGTTAAAGACGACAGAATTGCAGTAAATGTTTTGCACAAAAGGAGTTTGGAGTAATAAGTCATTTTTTCAGCTTCAATAGCTAGGCATCAGTGGTATGTTTATGTATCACACTATCACTGGTCTACCAACGATTACTCTGTCGAAAACTATAAAAGATATTAGCGATCCCATAATGTTAGGGCTAGGATGGGATGTGAACGCAGTCCAACACAGAATGCAATAAAACCTACAAGAAACAAAAATATTATTGCGTGAAATGGATTCCCGCTAGGACCCTGTCGCAAATTTTAAAACGAGACTTGAAGCTAGTTGGTTGCCGTCTACACACAGGATACGTCCTATATCACATTTTTATGATTGAAGAGAAGGACGTAAAATAAAATTTGTGCTCACACCTCTAAAGAAGCCTCGAATTTTGTTGGGTAAGTTACGTATAAATATTATGTATTTTGGTTATAACAACTTGCATTGGATCTTTAGTTCCTTGATAATATGTAATATGTAATTATAACCGGTTTACACTATACTTATTAGTATTAATATCTTTTACTGATAAATAATTTAATATATTATACATGCATTGCAAATGCATTTGGATTTTGTTGTTTTAGGACTGTCTTCGTATCTCTGAAACTGCATTCTAGTCCACCTTTGATCATATCATAACGTACAAGCTACTTAAGCTACGTTGAGTACAGATAGGTCACCAAAATGATCTGAATGGCATATTTTAATATATATATATATATATATATACAGTAAATCAGTAACTAAGAAATAAGCAAGTAAGATTGGGAAAATTTTAACGTGGCAGAGCTGAAAACGCTACAAGTATATTATTATGGTTGAAATACGAATGTCGGTCGGGAAGAATCACGCTTTTACCGAATACCAACGTAAAATGACAAATTAAAGCTGCTGTTTCATATGATGAGTGTAGAAAAACTACTGCTCTAGTCCTCAGGAGTGACTACGCATCTAAATTTTGATAATACTAAATCAAGGATAGCTGTAGGTATATACGGGCCACAGCATCAACTTACCATCAGATGAACTCTTTACTTTCTCTCTAATCCTTATTTTATAAAACAATAACAAAATCAAAACAATGATGTAATTTAAATGATGTAAGCATTTTGTGAAAGCAATAAAATTACAATGATAATGAAAAATGTAATTGTGTCAATTACATCCTACAGGAAATGTGAGTTTGATGTAAAATGTTTGCGCATAATAAAAAAAAAAATATTTTTTTTTTTATAATATTTTTTTTTTTTTTTTAAAATTTTTTTTTAAAAAAAAAAAAATATATATTTATTAATATTATATAAAAATAAAAAAATATAATAATATTATTTCTATTTTTAAAATTAAAATATAAAAAAAAAAAAAAAAAAAAAAAAAAAAAAAAAAAAAAAAAAAAAACCAGGAAAAAAAAAAAAAAAAAAAAAGGTTTATTTCAAATTCATACCAATAAGATAACAAGAAAATATTAAAGAAACAGATCGCAAACTGATTGATTCATGTTCGCCTCATCGATACCTTGTGTTCGTTACATACATTATATAGTATAAGTAAGTTTCAGCCTCGGTAAAGTTGTAACACTGTTTACTTTTTTCTGCTTTATTTATATTATAATTATTTTTATGATAACTATGTTGTGGCGGTGGAAGAATATCCACTACTCTATAATATGGGGTCGTAAGAAGCAACAGAGGTAAACTAAATACCAGATAGGTAGCATCTTTCTGATAACATCTAAATAAAAATAACGGTTGCCAATCTGCTTGCCAACCGTGGCCACTGTGACAAAAATACCTCTAATAAGCAAATTTATGAGGGAGCTGTACATATGTTCAACAATAGAACTGTGATAGGCTGTAAAGGCTATACGTCCCACAGCTGGGCACATGTCTCATCTCATTTTAGAGAGAGTTATCGAGTGATCAGCCCACCGCACTTCTCCAATGCGTATAAGCATCAATTTCATTAGAGCTGGCAGGGATCGAATCCATTTGTTCGCATGTATTTTGGTTGAAAATAAATATTAATATAAGAAATAAAAGAGACCTAAAGAACTTTTAATGTCTCGTTTTTACTATTATCTTTATTTTATAACGTAGTTGCACATTAAAGCTTACATGACAGAAAACGTTCTGGTAAGTTGTTTCTCTTAAAATGATTTAATCAAAATTTGATTACATAAAAATAATTGATTAGGTACTTGTTTACGGTCAATATTTCTGATTTAAAACAATTTCTAATTAAAAATTATTATCTTAATTTATTATGCATATAAATATTTCAATAAGTTTTATAGATTCCTTATTTTATTCTAACTTAAGACTTGATATTTCAACTTACGTGACTGTTGCTTTGATTTAATGTGATGTACTTACTGTAGTTAATAGAAGGCATCAAGAATATACATGCACATTCGAGAATGACTTCATACTTCTAGCAACGCTTTAAAACTATGCTTATAGACTGGTATCTATATTATTAAATTGAATTCAAATTGGGAAAATAGGCTAATAGAAAAATCAAATTTAGTCACAATGATTACTAAAGGATAAAAAAGTTATCGGGTTATGATAATAGGAACTTATTATGTTAACAAATAAACTGGTGTAGAGTGAAATAAAATGCGCAAATGACTAAAAAAAACATATATTATGGTTAACATTAATGAGCAAAATAAATTAGGTGAAAGTATGGAAAGCTATGTTTATGTTTACCACATCAGATACACAACGCGGCTCACATAATAGCACATCTGCGGTGTACATCGAACACTACAAACAGATGAGTGTAGATCAGTCCCTAACGGACCGGCTAAACAACATGCGGGATGAGGCCAGTGCGGCTCGGATGCGACGCGGGAACAACACATACGTGGGCGTGCGGCGAGGTAATCGCGCGGCATAGACAGGCGTGCGCCGCGGGCGCCACGCGATAGTCCATGTAGTTGCCGTAGCCCATGTGGTCGCAGGTGCAGGCGCAGTTCTCGATGTGCCGCCGCAGCTCCAGCTCTAGCTCCCACGGCGGCTCCATGGGCGCGCCGGGGCCGGCGGGCGCTCGCGGCACGCGGGCGGCTAGCGTGCGGTGCGGGCCGGGCGCGCGGCGAGCGGCGGGCCCGGCGCGGAGGGCGTCGCGGCGCGCATGGCGGGGCCCGGCGGGGGAATGCCGCGAGCTCGGCCGGGCTGCGAGCCGCCGCACCCGCCGCACCCGGCATCCCCGGCCGCGCAGCCGCGCCGAGCTCGCCACGTGCCGCCCCCGCGACCCGCCGCCCACCGACCGCCGAGCGCCGGACAAATCTTCCAAATGCACAATCGTCAACCATCAATTTACTCTGCACAGGTACAGCTGCGGCGTTCTAACCCAATAATGCAATACAGTCTAACTGATTTCTAACAATTGCCATTTCACAATCCCTAATCAGCTTAGAAAGGGATCTTTGAAATTATTGACGTTTAGAAAGTAATGTGAATTAAGAGACGTGGACATTCTACTTCGTTGGAATTGTAGCCGGGTGACATTTCATCCATTCCTCCATCATAGATTGCCTCTTGGAGGGATTTTGCCATAGTTGCTACGCGTGGCAAACGGAATGAAAATCGCAGTTTTTTTATTATTTTAGGTTGTTATCAGAAAGATGCTGCTGCCCATCTCCTACGACACATTATCAATCTTAGGCGGATTACATTATCTAATGTAATTTGCATCTGGTACACGCGGGACGATATATCGCGATCTACGACTTGACAACACCCACGGGACGAATTGGCGTGATGGATTTTCTTACATCCAAATATTCATTCTTCTTTCTTTCTTTCTTCATCAGCCCATATAAGATCACTGGTGGACATGAGCCTCTCCTGTTGTGGGAAGGCTTTGCCTTAATCGTTACGCTAGGCGAGCGGTTTTTCTATCGCAGTTCCAGTAGTCTCGCACTATTGGCGCTACTTGGACGACTATTATTACCGGTCTGTGTATTTTATGGCTGGCGTACACGGGATGGTTATACCGCTATATTTCGAAACCATAAGATGTTGTTGGCATTTCCCATAGTCTCTTATGACATCCACGAGACGAAATGGACTGACATTCTCATGTACCGCCACCACATCACAATGGAAAATTCATTCATTTATTTATTACAGCTTTCTACTTTAGTCCACTGCTGAACATAGAGCTATTTAATAAAGATATTAATAGTTACTTTGTCTTACCTAGTTTGAAGAGCATCTCCCGTCCCCCCTCAATTGCGTGCAGTAATCCCGTCACCGCCAATCCCAACACCACTACTCCTAACACCACTACTCCCAACACCACTACTCCCAACACCACTACTCCCAACACCACTACTCCCAACACCACTATTCTAGGAAAGACACACCATCGACGATAATACGACACATGTTTCGCCTCTACACGAGGCATCTTCAGGTGATGTTGACTCTACGGAGGCTGACCGCTAAGATGCAAAATAACTATTAATATCTTTATTATAATGGATTTCCGCAAAGTAACGCCAGATTCTATCAATTATAGACCTATTTGCCATTGTTGCTACGCGTGTAGGTGGGTAAACAGCCTCGGTTTTTTTATTATTTTGAGTAGTTATCAGGAAGACACTGCTGCCCATCTTCTGTTTCATTTCCCCCCCACTGAGCACGAAAAAGTGGTAATATCGTACTCTGTATTTTCTTCTCTATCGCATTCTATCCTTCGGATGAAAAGGGAATAGAGGATACTCTTACGCCTTCACTCCACGCCGGCTATGTATATTATTAAAATTTCTCATAGAAAAAATATTATGATGGCAATGAGACTTGGACTCAAAGCAATGAGATGATTGAAGGCAAGCAAAGCTTGTCTTATTTCAAATATTCGAGAGTAGGCATACAAAGGTAAACACAAATATTATTACGAAGCATCTAATTGCTAAACGACGTAGTAATAATATATACTCTTTGGCAAACCGGTGCACCACGGAGCCGTATTCATTACGAGTAAAATAATAAATAAAATGCTAAATACAAAAAGTTCAGTTTGGTTCCTGGTTCCGCTTTGCTAGTACTTAACAGGCAAAGGTTTTTTTTTCGAACTAGCGATAGTCAAAAAGCAAAAATGGAAATAACATAACCATTTATCTATACTTATTACTTATTATTATTTACTTATTAACTTATATAATATAATAAAGCGGAAGAGTTTTTTTTTGTTTGTTTAAACACGCTAATTTCTGGAACTACCATTCCGATTTCAAAATCTATTTTTGTATATTACAGCCAGATTCATGACGAATAGTAGGCTTATGGATTCCACACATGGTCAGTTCAACTGATCAGTTCACACTAGGAATGTTGATTTTTTTTATAATATCGGATTTTCGATGTATCGATAATTATAAATATATCAATATCGGAGTTTTATATATAAGTTTAATTATCGATATATCGAAAATCCAATATTTAAAAAAATATTAACAGTCCTAGCTTGAACTGATCAGTTGGAATGATCAGTTGAACTGACCGTGTGGGGCGTCCATTAGGCTACACCTATCAGCTAGTCTTAATTATTGATTTTTGCTAAGCAAGTCAGAAGAAAAAGCGCTCCCTAAATGATTTATCAGCGTCCGCTGGCGTATTGGTTAGTGATACGTAAATACAATGTTCTACAAAAAAATAGATCTTTCCCCCATCTAATAAAAAGTCCGCGATACCATATGCCTATTTCTTATACACAATAAGGTATTTTGTGAGAAAAAATATTGAAAATTTAAAAGTGATTTATGAGCTTTACTATTAGGCATAGCATATTAATCGGTAATACGGTTAATTCCTCTGGTGGTGCGGTTGGTAATGGGCTTCGGTAATCACTTAACACCAGATAAATCCTATGATCGTTTGCCCCCTCTTCTATAAAAACAAATCATTACGAACGATAGTTACTTCATTATCAAAACAATTTTATGGAGATAAATTTTTCTCTTTATAGCATGATATTTAGATACATAGTTTAAGAGATAATGAAATAAATAAAGAATAATTTCAACACTTGGCTCGGCGCGCGAACGACGTATAACGGTAGCCGCCCGATGAGAACCGATAGAAATCAGCAGTGGAAGCTTCTATTAGTTCAAACATTTTAGAATGTATGGGAAAATCGGCAAAATTGATGGAAAAGGTTTATCCCCCCCGTCAAAAAAACCATAGACAATACGTGAAAAGTATGTTAGTACGAAATTATCCTTCATGAATTTTACATACAAAGGCGATATAATCTGTAATTTCGGCGCAATTTGCCACGAAATATGAACTTTGTTTATCATTTATTTATTTATTTCATTTGTCCATTCAGCGACACATAAAAATTCGTGTATTAGCAAAACATTTGGCAAAATTAATAGAGTGGAGAAATAATATCTATTTTTACAGAGCATATTCTATTTTTTACTTTAGTCATACATAACTTAGCGGTAAAGTGGGAAATTTTTGAGAAAACTAAGATGTATAAGACGTTGATAGCAAATTTATCGAGAATCATTTCGTACATACACATTTTTCATATATCGTATATGTTTTTTTGGACATTTTCTGGGATGTGGGGAGGGGGGGCTGACAAACGGAGAGTGAATAAAATTTAATATTTTACCCTACATATTGGATAGATAAAATTAATTTTGCCAACTTTTTAGCCAAAATGATTGAACTATGAGTGAGGTGGCTCAGATCAGAGGCGTCATATACGTGGGTGAAACTGCGAGGCGCAGCTAGTTTAAAATTATTTTAACAATAATTATTTGTAACCTATGTCGAATAAAAAATATTCCCCACTATTTTGAAAATGGGCCACAACAATGAAGTCTTCTTTACACATTTCTGCACTGATCTTTACTGAGACAATATATATAATAAAAATGAAACACCTAAACCTGCGGAGACAGTTCCCCAAAATCCAATGGTAATCTACAACAGTACCAAAATAGTATTCTATACAAATTCAACAATTCGCAACTCGTTTTAGCGCTACGGCGCATTATACCAAAGGTGTAACGGAGATTGCAAGGTGTATTACTTCCTTACTCGGATTTAATCTCAATTGAATTATTCACTTTACGAGCACGAGAAGACGTACCGGTTGTATAACGTAATAGAAGCTTTAATGATTATTGCTAAAAGCATTTCTATATTAATTTAATCGATTCTTAATACGTTTTATAGCTTTGAAAAATGTGCCTTCTCTTTTCTGTAAAGGAGCTTAATTTACAAACCCCCTTTTTTAGGTTTAAATTATTTTATTCACATAATTTGCTCGATTTCTTTTTACTTTATACCTATATGTAATTGCAGGTTTAATGTGTAGTCAGATACCTTATTCTAAACGACCTATATACGGTACAATAGGGAGTGAAACCACAGAAACCAAATGCGACGATATTTTAGCGAAACTTTACAATTTCAAATGTTTTCATTTGAAACAATAGAAAAAAAATCTAAAAATTGAAAATTTTTGGTAGAAAAGCGTTATCGTAGAATAACTACTACCCCATATGGTCCCGATGATATGGTGAAAACTATTACAAAATATCCCCCATGAGCAACAACAGCAAGAAACTGCCCCTAGTTCATGGCGACCACACCAGTCCTGGCTATGATGGCGATCATGGTAACGAGGCAAAGGATGTTTAGAATCTCCGGTAGAGTTCAGATGCCACCTTCGATGACTAAATTACTATAAGATCTCAGCCTGTATTAATATAGGATCATTTATTAACGCACGCACCTTGATGCCGAACAGAAGGTCTTGGGACTGGAAGAAAAATAAACGAGTTACGCTATTGTATCATAGGATTAGGTATCTGAGATCCGAAGAGAGGAAAAAGTCATGATAATCGTTGAATCAGGCAACTTATTCTGCCATCAGAAGAGCGACCATCTGTACCATCTCCTATCTTGATCACGTCTAACAACGTGATCAAGATAGGAGACGCCGGATGATGGACTTCAAAGAATGCAGTATCAGCATCAATGGTAAAATACATCACTCACTTTTGATTTGCTGGTGACATAATCTATAGTCGCTATGGCAGAATTACTAGAGGACCTTAGTAAATGCACACAATGATAGCAATTAGGGCTGTAATGATGACGCTAATGATGAAGAAACATTGATAGGCTAACTGTCAAAGTGTGAAAATATTCTGAGTAAAATTGCAAAAGAACATAATATAACGTCTTGAATATTAAAAATAAAATACACCCACAAAAACCAATCCCGCAAAAAGACCAGCACCACTACTCCTAACA